CTGGAAGAGCTCCCGAAGGATCTGCCTGAGGCTCTTTTTGAGGAGGTGTCACTCTTCCAAAATATGTCCACAGTGGATTGCTTGTTTTTTTCATCATAAATTTGCTTGTAAACAGATAATGCACCATGAACATCCCTCTCTATTAATGATGGCTACGAAGTCACTAGGTGATAGGAATTTTTCAGCTCCATTATAATTTTATGGGACCACTGTTGTATGCATGGCCCTTTGTTGACCTAAATGTTCTATGTGACACATGACTATTTTATTTGTGTGCATTTTTTTTTGAATAGGTAGTGCTGTCTTAGATCCAGTATCTGATAAATTCTTCATAATACCCATTCTCTCAAGTGTGTTTTCTTTTCAGTGGTAGCTTTTGGAATGCAGGGTTTCTTCAATCTACAGGATTGAATCTCGTATTGAATTCTCTCTGCTTCACTCTGCTCAGAATCCCATGGCATGAATGTTTCCACCAGTGTGGACTGTTAAAGAAGCTGACCCAGAAAAAGTAAAGAGCTTGGAAATCAGGATAAGAGGAGATTTTGCAGGCTTGGAACAAATGTCCTCAATCATTTAAAGGGTTGTGATGTGAAAGAGGGATTGATTATGTTTCTTCTTGTGGGCAGAGGTGAATTTATCATGAAGATAATCAGGTTTAAGCTGTAGAGTTCCTTACTTGCGTGGGCTCCTTCTAAGACCTGGTACCTAATTTTGAATTCTTAAATTTGTGTTATTTCACTTTAAGAGCCCCCTCCCCCACCTCAGTTGTATAATTTTTAGAACCCACAAAACCTGGATCTACCTCTTTCTGTGTGGCTCCAGGGATCAAACCAAGAACTAGGATAGACAGGAAATCCAGGGTGAGGATGTTAGTTCAATAAAGGAAAATCTTTCCATGGGCCAGGACTATTCCACCAAAAAGTGGGTTATTGTGGCGGGCACTCTGTGTAGCCTACCCACAGTCAGTCTTCCTAGCAACACCCACTCTTTCCTGCTAATAGAACTTTGATTTGTTCAAGAAGTAAATGGAGAGCCCTTGATCTCAGAGAGAGCAGGCTGTTCCCTAAGCCCCACTAGTGAATTATGATTGGTTTAAACCAATGATGATATTCTCTTTACCAATGACCAGTAATTAGTCTAAGGATGGGCAGGTAATCTAGTTCTGACCAATGAGACTTTGTTCCCTGAAGTAAAAGACAAGATTTCAGGAAGCAAAGGTCTTTTTCCCTTTCCCTTTCATTTCTGAAACTCAGATAGGAGAACTGGAGATCTTGCAGCCCTCCTGTGGCCAGTAAGCTAGAAGATAAACACAAGAGTCAATAGCCAAGGATGGTAGAACATAGAGAAGTAAAAGGGTTTATTAGGATGCTTATAGCATTGCTGAGGAGCTGAACCAATACTAGGCAGCCACCTACCTCTAGACTACTTATGTGAGAAAAACAACAACTCCTGATTTGTTTAAGTACTGTTAATTATTTCTCTGTTACTTATAACCAAATACATTTTTACTTAATTCAGCTGTGTTAAGGAGACAGTCTTCTCTGCCTCTGGTGGGAGTCAATGAGCAGGCCAATTTATCACAAAACAGGGATGCTGCAGAGGGTATTTATGTCTGGGAGAGAGGATTTGGGGAGGTGATAAATTGTTAGTAGGGATAATCTTACCTGATTAAGGCATGGACAACTTCCTACGACTTGGTCCTTAGGTTTCATTTTTTTCCCCCTTAAGTCTTCATATTTCCTTCAGCCTGTAGCCATCTTCCTTGACCTACTTTCTCATCTCATCTACAGCCTCCCTCAACCCCACCCTTGACAGGAGGTAGGAGAAATGATTGAGCATAAGGGGAGAAGAAGACATTTTCTCTAACCTGGTGTGCTATGCAACAATTTAGGACAACGAGGTAGGTTTATAAGTATTGACAGAAAATGCTTTCATTATTTATCAGTAAACAGATAAATTAAAACACAGCTTTCAAATGTGTAAACACTGGGTAATACTTAGAGGGGGACAGCCCTGATAGACTTGAGGGGATGATACTTGAGATTGTACAGTTTTCAAACTGTGGTAATCAGACCCTTGGGGAGACATGAGGATTTCCAAGGGATACATGGCCCAGATAGTATTTAAAAATAAATACCCAGAGAGTATCTAAAAATTTTTTTATTATGAAAAACATTAAAACTGGTACATAAAATATAATTTAATGTACCCAGCTTTAATCCATGGTCCTTTCCTGTTTCATCTATACATCCACTTCCATCCCTCATATCATCATATCATTGCTTTTTTATTGAGATGAAGATGCAAAGATGAACCCCAACAATTCCTCCCATCTCTGCACACCCATGCTATTCTTTCCATGAGAGGTGATGGAATGATCTACAGTTAGATTGTAGTGACTGTTGCACAACTTTGTAAATATACTAAAGGCCACTGTACACTTTATTTTTTTGTTTTGTTTTGTTTTTTTAGCTGAGCCATCCTGCCACCTGTTGGCAGCTTAGCGGCTGCTCAGCTCGGGCCAGGACTCGAACCGCTGTTGCTCAGAGCTCACCACTGTACACTTTAAATGGGTGAATTATATCGTATATGACTTATACCTCAATAGAGCTATTTTTAAAAAGCAGAGAAAAAATATTCTCTAATACTAGTAAAAGAAAGAAAAAAAAGAGCTGGAATCTTGTTTCCATCCCTCTTAAAACAGGTTTGGCTCTATGACTTACTTCAACCAGTAACAGGCAACAGAAGTGACACTGGGACTTCTGGGCATTTCCCTGAATAGGCCTTGGAGCTTCAGTTTTCACTCTTTCAGAGGCTTCAGCCACCCCAACTAACCTGCTAGAAAGAGAGGCTCAAGCAGAGCTCAGCTGTTCGTTTCAGCCGCCCCAGCTGAGATACCACACAGGTGAGTGACACCACTTTGGCAACTCCAGCTGCTGTTGAGCTGCCCCAGCCAACACCACGTGGAGCAGAGACTAGCTATCCCTGACAAACCAGACTGTTAAGTCTCAGGATGGTGGGGAAACGGTGGTACCAAATCCCCAGAAGGGGCTCAATGAATATTTGTCTCTTCTCATTTCAGTCAGAGGTTCCTCTACCTAACCCTCTAGTGCTCCCCATAGCCCTGAGATCTCTGATCAGAGGCAACAAGGCCCTAGATCACACACCTTTCCCCTCTCTGATTTATCTCCAGGACTCTTCCCTTTGCTCAAGGTACACTGGCTTTCCTTGAACAGGCCAAGGACATCACAGGGTTTTGCTGTTCCCTCTGCTCTTCCCACAGATGTCCAGGGCTTCTCCTTCATCTATTTAAGTCTTCATTCAAACACCTTCTGATTAAGACCTTCCTCCTTATCTAGCCAGTCTATAAAAAATTACCACTTTCTCATTCCCTATCCCTATTCCCTGCTTTAATTTTTCTCTTTAGCATTTAGCAATGCCTAACATAGTATTTAACTAATTTATTTCATTTATTTTTGTCTCTCCTGCTAGCACTTAAGCTGCATGAGGAATTTTTTTTTTTTAAAGATTTCCTATTGGGGAATTCAGGGAGGGGAACAGTGTTGGGGAATTGGGGAAGGGGAACAGCCAAGTTGTTGTCCTTCAATCTTAGTTGTGGAGGGTGCAGCAAGCTCAGTTCTAAGTCCAGTCACACTGCTCAGCTGAAGGTGCTGTGTTCAATTAGTAGCCACCATCCCAGGTGGGAGTCGAACCAGCAGCCTCAATGTTAAGAGTGCACGCTCTATTCACTGAGCCATCCGGGCAGCAGCTCAGTTCAAAGTGCCGAGTTCAGTCTTTAGTTGCGGGTGGGCATAGCCCGCCATCTTGAGCAGGCAAACTTGTTAGGTGCACGTTCTCTCGCCAGCTGAGCCATCCTGCCACCCGTTGGCAGCTCAGTAGCAGCTCAGCTCGGGTGCAGCTCACTGGCCCTTGTGGGAATCAAACTGGTGATCCTGTTGCTCAGAGCTCTCATTCTTAAGCTCTGAACAAACCAAGCCACTCTATGGCCCTGCATGAGGGATTATTATTATTATTTTTAAAGATTCTATTGGGGAATTGGGGAAAGGAAACAGCGTTGGAGAATCAGGGAAGGGAAACAGCCAAGTTGCTGTCCTTTGGTTCTTCAGTCTAGTTGTGGAGGATGTCGCTTCACTGGCCCATGTTGGTATTATGATCACTGCGCTCTTCCTGGGTGAGGCAGATTGGTCGCCGGCCACTGGACCACCGCTCACTGCAGCTCTTGGCAGCTTATGCCGGCTGCCAGCAACTCACGGTAGCTTCATGGCAGCCCACTGCAACAGAGACTGCAGCCTACACCATCCCCAGCGACTCACGGCAGCTCAGCTCCAGGTTGAGCCTTTATTCACCATCTTAACTGTAGAGGGCGCAGCGTCACTGGCTCTCATGTGGGATCCAAACCGGGGCCCTGCTGCTCAGAGCTGGCATCCCAAGCCAACTCTTAACCAACGGGCCACTTGGCCGGCCCAAGGGAATTTTGACTGTCTTCTTTATCCGTTGTATATCGTGTCTAGAACACAGCCTGGTGCATAGTAGGCACCTCCATAAATTAAGTGTAGGAAGAAGGATCTCCCTGACCCCACTATGTTAAATAGAAATCTCCTCTTTCCCGTTCCTTGCTCTATTTTTCTTCATGATACTTAGTACCATGTCAAATGTATTTGTTTACAGACTTTCTCCCGACTAGAGTGATGATTCCTTTAACAGAAAGGGCGTAAATATTTGCTGAATGAATTATAATAATTACTAGAACGAAGGAATGAACAAATCGAGCAGCATCTGATACTGGGCTCCGACACCGCTAAACAGCCTAAGTAATAGGACTAATTTTGAAGCTAGCTGCGGGCCTGCACCCCCTCCGAGGGTGGAGGTCTGTTGTCAAGGCTGGGTTTCGGCAGCGCCCCTTTAAATGAGCTGCGGTCCGAGGGCCGCTAGCGCTGGTTCTAGCTCGGCAGAGCAGAGCAGGGCATGGCTCCTTTAAACGCCGTCTCACCTAGCCGGGCAATTTCCGGGGCGGTGTCATTGCCCCTTTAAGAGAAGCGCGCCCCGCCCCCGGGGCGGAGCTTAGAGGGAGCTTTAAGGGGCGGGCCGGAGGGCAGCCGGGGTCCTCCGGGGGATTAACGTGAGGTGGGTTCGCGCCTCAGGCCGCCATTTCTTGCCATCTCCGGAGGAGCCGCCCCCTCCTCACACGCGCTCGGGATCTCTCCCGTGTGGTCGTCCCTGCACCGTCGTCCCAGCGCAGGTAAGCGCGAGGCCCAGTAGCCCCGGCCGCCTTGTCCGCGCCCGGCTCGGTCCAAGCTCCGCTCCCCTCACAGCTCCGGTAACCCCTCCTCGCTCGCGGCGGGTGCTGCAGCCTCGCCCCGGTATTCTCTGGCCGCCCGGAGCTTCCCGGTCTGGTCGGCAAAATATTAAACTCACCGAGAGGGGAGGGGCGGCGACGGCCAATGGGGTCGAGCCGCTGAGTTTCGGGCGATACTGCGCGGGGCAGCCGGAGCGGAGCGCCTTGGGCGAAAGCTGGTCTAAGTACGGGCTTTCCCGCTGGCCGGCGGGAGCCTTGCGAGCAGCCGGGGTTGGGTGGGGTGGGGTGGGGGTGGTCGCCGGCGTGGTGGGTGGGGCGGTGGGCGCCATTCACCTGCGAGACGGAGTTTTAGCCATCCAGCTGATGCAGTGAATGGATATGGCAGGTCAAGGGAAAAAAAGCAAACCTTGAGTGTGTGTTATGGTATTATAACAAAAACTCGAGTTCACTTTTGGAGCTGATTTGCGTTTAAAACTTCAGCCACTTGGAAATTGTGAGAGGCAGAAGTGTTCCTAGGAATGACGACGTCTAGAGGACCCTCCCCGCCCCCACCCGTGGATTGGGCGTGTTAATGATGGGTTCTTCGGCGTGTAAACATGAATTGTATTTGTCACAATCTTTATGGTTACCAAGTCTCAAGAGTTTTGCTTCAGAGCAAGAGACTCAAGTCTTTTAAGCCGTTTGACATTTTAAATTAATATCAAAAGTACTTTTTTTTCAAGAATTAGGGAGAAAATTACCCATAACTATCTCTAACGTAACAGGTTGCTGAACCCTCCAAACATAGTGGATTATTTGTGCATATAAACTAGTTTGCAGGGTTTTCTTCTTTTTATAGGTAAACTTCATTAGAAAACGGTATGTTAAACAGTATAACTTATGATGAATTGTTCTATTACAAATAAATTCTCTTACAGTCTCAGAAAAATATTTTGGGATTACTGGGAAAAGATATTAATATCTTTATGACACTTGCTACATATTGGTATATTGCTTTATTAAAAAGCAATTTCTTACCAAATGACTACCAGTCATGTATGAGTGTACACATTTCATGACACACGTTTGAGTTTGAGATATATATTTTAAAAAAACCAAGGGCCGGCTGAGTGTTTCAGTTGGTTAAGAGCTCACTCAAGAGTGCGAGCTCTGAGCAACAGGGTTGCTGGCTCGATTCCCAGCCCTAGCTGAGCTGCTGAGCTGCCAACAGGTGGCAGGATGGCTCAGCTAAAACAAAAAAAAAACCCAAAAAACAAAACCCAGTTAATTTAAGTAGTAAACACAATTTGTATTTTTATGATTGTAAAGGAAACCCTTTTGTTCATTGCTGAAAATTTAGATTAAAAACTAGTGATTTTTAAAGAACCATAAGAACCTAACATCCAGAAAGTCCACTTTATCATTTTAGTGTCAGACAAGCTCTTTATTAAGCACCTAAAATGCAGATTGTTGTGCTAGGTCGGTCATAGTGATGAATGAGTCAGGTTAAGTCCCTGTCCTTGTGTCTTGGGAGGGAGGGAACTACCCAGTAATAAAGTAATTAAACAATTGGGTATTTAATTATTGTTTTTTTAAATTTGATAAAGAAAAGGCTAAGAGTTACTAAAAGGAGCACCTAATTTAGACTCAGGAGTTGAGAATGCTTTTCTCAGAAAAAGACATTTCAACCAGAAATCTGAAGTCAGCCATGTAAAGGAGGAAAGGGTGGGGGAGTGTGGGAGAGGTGAAGTGGAAAAAGAGCATTCCAGAAAAATGGAATAGTTAAGGGGAAAAAAAAGGCCTGCACTTAAAAAGACTTTTGGACCGAGCCGAAGGGGTACTTAGAGAAGAGTGAGCAGCTGGGAGTGGGCTGCCAAGAAGGGTCAGGCAGGTGGAGGAGCTGGATCAGGGAGCAAGGCTATTAAAAATTTTTAAACAGGGATCAGATCCGTGGTTGCTAAAAATCTGCTGCAGCAAGAAGAATGTAAGTGGGAGTGGGGTATGGGAAAAAAGTGGATATGGGAAAGCTTTTTATTTAACAGTAAATTTTAAAAACTCTTCTGACATGTTCATATATTCTTATTATGGAAGACTTAAGTATAATACTTCCACATGACCCTCTCCAGAGATAACCTCACTTAACAGTTTGCATGTCCTTCTAGTCCTTTGTGTAAGGTGTATGTATATGTATGTATCCCACCCCAGTGTTAGGTAAAATTATATTCATTTTTCTCTGATTTCAGTTTTCACTTATGAGTTTTGTTTTTCTGTGTCTAAGTCAGTTGTATTTTAAAAACAGCTGTGTTGTATGCCATTGTATGTACCATAATTTAACTACTTGCATGTTAATAGACATACTTAAAATTTTCTTAAGTTAATTATATCCTGAAAAATCCTTGTTTCTACAGCTTAAAGCATATGTGGGACTATTTCTTTAGAATATCCTACCAGAAATAGAATTGCTGAGTGAAAGGGTATGCATGTTAAAATTTTATTAGTGTGGTGAAATCCTCCTCCAAAGAGAACCGTGTATTGTTTTTCCTATATCCTTTTTAACACTGGCTACCTTTAGTCTTTTACATGACAAGACAGTATGATATTTTTTAAATTTGGATTTCCTTGGTTATTGTTGAAGTTGAACATCTTAGTGAATATTTTCATTGCATATCACCTTTTAGATCTTGTTTCATCAATATCTTGTCCATTTGTTTCTCTGTTGGGTTGTTTATCTTAATGATTTGTGATAGTTCTGTATTAAACTGCATATTAATCCTTCAAAAAAAATTTTGCCAAAAAAAATTTTTTTTTAAACTTTACTGGGGAACAGTATGTTTTTTCCAGGACCCATAAACTCCAAGTCAAGTCGTTGTTTTCAATCTAGTTGTGGAGGGCACAGCTCAGTGGCCCATTTGGGGATTGAACCGGCAACCTTGGTGTTAAGAGCCTGTGCTCTAACCACCTGAGCTAACTGGTCACCCTCTGAAAAATTTTTAAAAGCCCTTCACCCTAATATACTATTTGTTTCCATCTAGTATTCATTTCTTTCACTTTAAATCTTTAGTCTATGTGAAATTTATTTTCATGTAAGTTGCTTTCATATTTTTGTAAAAAGAACTTATTTGTGGGATTGGTTTTATAGTTCAAAATACATAGTTATTAAAATTCTAAGTCTGAAAGAAGCTTTGTTTTTCCTTCGCAGGTTAGTAAGTCAGTCTTTTCAAGGTGTAGGATAAGGGGAAGGTCAGAAAACTTGTTTTATAATTTATTTGTTTCCTAGGAACCACAAAGTTGTGCGTTTTGAACATTTTTTTCCCTTAAAAAAACTTTTATTATGGGAAAATTTGACATATACAGAAGTAGTCAGAAGAGTATAATAATTCCCCCGTGTACCATCATCCATCTTCAACAGTTATCTGGCCAATTTATTTCATCACTATTCCCACTTAGCTCCCTTGTATTATTTTGATGCAAATACTAGCTATCACGTCATTTCTTTTATAAATATCTCATTGTGTATTTTCAAAAGATAAGGACTCTTTTTTTAAAAACTTATCATTAATACCACTGTTTTATCTAGAATAAAAATGGCATTAATTTATTCCTTGGTTGTCATAAATAGCCCAGCCAGTGTTCAAATGTGTATGATTTATATCCTTGGGACATTCAAATGTCAACTGTGATGGCTTTGCTAGTTTGCATAATTACATAGGAATATGCGTATTTGTAAAATGAGGATATAATCCTCAATGTATATATCTATTGAATTATTTTTGATTTGATATTTTAATATTTCAGCTTTTATTTTTATTATGTTTACAAATGCATCTAGTTCAAAGCATCAACTGGTTATGCAAGACTTGTTATAAGTTATATAAATAATAACAAATGTGTGACTTGAAATTTTTTATTTTGAAATAATTTTAATCTTATGTAGAAGTTATAATAATAGTACAGTTTTCCCATTATATCTTTCACCTAGCTTCCCCCAATGATAACATCGGACAACTTAAAAAAAAAGTTTATTTGAATTAAGATCTAAAATAGGTGCACACACATATGTTTGATACATGTTTTTAGTCTCTTTTAATCTGTAGTTTCCTTTGCATCTATTGATTTCCTCCCTTGCTATTTGTTGAATAAGCTGAATTTTAAAGAAAATAAATTCATGTATGTTTTGTTTGTATTTGCATTCAACTTTTTAACTGTGACCTTTGATAATTTCTTTCTTGTCTCTAAAATGAGAGTTTTACATGAATGGTGCTATGATGTAGAGCAGGGGTGTCAAACTGGCGGCCCGTGGGCCGCATGCGGCCCTTGAGGTAATTTTTTGTGGCCCGCGATGCTCTGAAATAAAATGAAAATAAAAAAATTGTTATGAAGAAAATAGTGCTTAGGGGAGATCGAGGCAATACTGTACACACAATTCCCTGGTTAACCCTTTAACTACTGAAGACGAGTGTACACGTGGCCCAGTGCCTTTCCTGGGGGCCTGTGGGCATATATAAACGCGCTGACTCAGTTCCGGCGACGTTTGGAAGCAATATGCCTGCCACTCTGTGTCACGTAATGTAAACAGATCCCAATAGCGAAAAGGTTAAAAAGAGCACTCGGGTAAAAAAGAATAATTTTAGTTTTATAAATACATTAAATAAAATGTTTAAATAAAAGCAATTATATAGTGTTTTAATTATCCTATCCATATTCCTGAATCCTCACTTCAGAATATAAATTTAACAAAATTTGTAAATGTGATGTGGCCTGCGTGAATCTTGCCTGTTGCACTAAATGGCCCGTGTTTTAATTGAGTTTGATATCCCTGATGTGGAGAAAGATCAAGGTTTGGAGTCAGGAAATCAGAGTTTGAGCCCCTGTCTTCACTATTTACTAAATAATGAACTTGGCCAATTGTTTAATTTCTCTGACCCTTGTCATGAAAATAAGACAATACTTTGGGGAGTTTTTCTGAGGACCAAGTAAGATTCTTTAGTAAACATTTGTTGCATTTGATGATGAAATGTTCTGGGTAGGAATTATTATTTCCTTGAGGGGCTTACAATAAAGGAGACAGACATGTAAATGAATAATTAAAATCTGATTAGTGAAACAGTAAAATATTTTCAAGGTTTAGTGGAACTGTTTCTCAGGAGAGATACAGGTAGAGTTGAATTAAAAGGAATAAGGAGGGATTCTGTGACATAAGGGCTTTAGAAGTCTGGGATAACAAGTATGACTTTTCATAGGCAGCTGAAATGAGACTGGATAGCAAGGTGCAAAGGAACAGTGCCTGAAAATAAACTGGAGAGATAGAGACTGGGGGCCAGATGTTAACAATGTATGAGTGCTTTGTAAACTTAAAAAGCTGTTTACTATCTAAAATTTTAGTTATTTCCTTAAGATCTAAGCAGGTGAACACATAATGGCAAGTGTCATGGCTTAGCCATTTTACCTAATTATGTAGGAATGTCCATGCTTGTAATATGTGTACAATAATCTTTAATTTATTGACGTTTATTTTTTTGTGATAGTATTATTTATTTATTTTTAAAGATTACTTGGGGAAGGGGAACAGTATTGGGGAATTGGGGAAGAGGAACAGCTAATATCCTTCAATCTTAGTTGTGGAGAGCGCAGCTAGCTCACCTCCAAGTCTGGTCGCCATCCGGCCACCCGTCTGCAGCTCGCAGCCGCTCAGCTCAAGGTGCTGTGTTGAATCTTAGTTGCGGATGGGCATAGCTCATCATCCCATGCGGGAGTCGAACTGGCAACCTTGTTGTTAGGAGCACGTGCTCTCACCAGCTGAGCCATCCTGCCACCTGTTGGCAGCTCAGCAGCAGCTCAGCTCAGGCACAGCCCACTGGCCCATGTGGGAATTGAACCCACGATGCTGTGGCTCAGCGCTCACACTCTTAACCAACTGAGACACTCGGCCAGTCCCGTGTTAGTATTTATTTTAAATTAGCTTTTATTTTTATCAAGTTTGTAAATGTGTCTACTTGAAAGAATCCTCTACTGGGAAGGCTTCTTTTGAAAATCAGCACTATCCTGAATTTTGTTCCATCCTCAAAAGCAACCAACCAGTCACATTTTAAATAACATGCTCTTATTGCTACTTCTTGATTTTTAGGTTTAGGAATTATCTGTTTAATTCCTACTAGGCAAGATGAATTAGTTTCCACATTTACCTATATTATACTACTTCACTCGATTACAGTTACTTTATAGGTGTGGTTAAATCAATATTTAGTGTTTATAGTTTTATGACTAAACTATTAGCTGAGTCATGTAGTATACTGTGATTACTTTCCCTTTTCTGCACAACTTTTTTTTTTTAAGATTTTATTTGGGAATTGGGGGAGGGAACAGTGTTGGGGAATTGGGGAAGGGGAACAGACAAGTTGCTGTCCTTTGGTTCTTCAGTCTAGAAGACTGACATCGCTTCACTGGCCCATGTTGGTATTATCATTGTACTCTTCCTGTGTGAGGCAGATGGGTCGCTGGCCACTGGACGGCGTCTCACAGTGGCTCACGGCGGCTCATGGCAGCTCACACCCGCTGCCAGCCAGCCCCACTGCAGCCTACGCCATCGCCAGCGACTCACGGCAGCCCAGCTCCAGGTCGAGCTGTTGTTCACCATCTTCTCTGTAGAGGGTGCATCATCCCTGTTCTCCATGTGCGATCCGAACCGGGGCCCTGCTGCTCAGAGTTGGCGTCCCAAGCCAACTTCTAACAAATGCACCACTCAGCCGGTCCTCTGCACAACTTCTTGTTTTCACTGGAATTAATAATTTTTTTTGTTTATTTTTTGACTTAATTATATGTCCTTATTTTTCTCAAACTTTTAACTTTGTAAATTTAAACATTAGGATACCAAGGTAGTTTTAATGGTCTTTCCATTTTATGGGTGCCATATTTTTAAAATTACTAATACCCATTTTAATTATTTTTATTAACCTTAATGTTCTTAATAGAGATAAGGAAAGAAGTAACAATTATTTGATACTATAAATAATTGCTTATATTAAGTAGTATTTTTAAATCTGTAAGTAATAGAATATTTGATAAAAACTTACATTTGAATTTTAGTTGAAATAGGTGATTATTTTTGTATTTTTGTTATGAAAGCTCAGAAGAGAAATGGAACTATTTAGGATTGTTATTACCATAAAAGGATACCTTAATGTATGGATGGCATTGTCTCATGTTTCTAGGGATGTATGGCTGTTTTACATATAATTTTTTGATTCAAAAGACTTGATGAACTTCATAAATGTTTGCCCTCTCTTATCAGATCAGCTCCTTATAAAATAGTCCAGTAAGTTTAGAAATGCTGTAAGCAATAGCTCTATTTTATGTAACATCTTTAAAAACTTTGAAGTAGCCAGTTTTAATTATTTTTTTCAAATTTGCTTGACCAGGAGCTCTGTTAGATAATAGGTTTGCTAATATCCACAGGACTTTACTAAATAACACCATTTGTCTGACTGCAAATTGTGGGGAGTCTTCTGATATCTTTTTCTCACTGGTTTTTAGTGACAAAATGCTGAGCTTCTTCCGTAGAACACTGGGGCGTCGGTCAATGCGTAAACATGCTGAGAAGGAACGACTCCGAGAAGCTCAACGAGCTGCCACACACATTCCTGCCGCTGGAGATGCTAAGTCCATCATCACGTGTCGTGTGTCCCTTCTGGATGGTACTGATGTCAGTGTGGACCTGCCGGTATGTAGGTCTTGATGACAGGCAAATTCTATGTGAGATCACTTTCTTCATTGGTGCTTTCTATTGGATAACTTCCCAGGGGAATTAGGTAACATGGGTTAGTATGGATCAAACATTGTAACATACAGGTACATGAATCAGGTAACCTTAGGTACCTGGCATGATAGTATTTCTCTGGAATTAGTGACAGTGACCTAAACATTTAAATAACAGGGTGGTTAATGGTGCAAGTCGTTTGTGTGTGTGTTTATGTTTCTTCTTTACAATGGCAGTACATTGTGTACTGTAGTAGATTTCTCACCATACTTGTTGAGCAACTATTAAAGAAATGAGAATCTTTGGGAACCAGAACGATACTTAACATGTATACTGCAAGACTTTTACTTCTCTGTACTTTTCAGAACACTCCTCACTTTCCTCAAAACAAATACATCCTCCACAGTTTGGTGTGCTTGCAGAAATTGTAATGAAAAGAAGTGAGGAAAAGGGCAAAGGGCTTTCTTCATATCCTTCAGCTCTGACTGCCTATCTCTTTGCTCCCAAAGTCGTTCTCAGGGGAGGTTTTTCATATACTGTAATCTTTATTTCAAGACAGGATGTTGTAATTACATTTGAATTTTGGGTAGGTTTTTTTGCAGTTATGAATAATTCTAACTCACAGTGTGAAATAATCCAGTGTGTTTGAAAGGGCTCAATTTATTTCTTGCAGGCATTTTTTTTGAGGGAAGGAGAAGGTAGTCATATGGTTTTGCAGGAGTTGAGTTTCTTTCTGAGCTATTTACTAATGCCAGATCTCTTTCTCATGTCTTTGTTCTGCATTAAAAGATTTACATAACTAAGCTGTAAAATATGCGATTTGATGTAAGCGTCATTGGATGTTCAATAATGCTCTTCCCTCCCCACAAACTTTTTAGTACACACTCATTTACCCAAAATGCAGTTTTAAAAAAGTCTTTTTGTGCAAGGTGATAGCCTGGGTGCTGAAATAATGCATAGTTGAATAAGCTCTGCAAAGCTTTGAAGTCACAGAGTGAGAAATTAGGGAATTGGATAGTTTGTTTAAATGACTATTCTGATTAATTAAATAATTTAGAATGTACTAGGTATGTACCTTATACATTTTTAAAATAATGGAATATAAAGTTAAAGATGTAGGATTTCTTAAAGTGTTTTAAAATCATTGTTATGAGTATTATTTTTTTACATTAGATGGAACATTTTTAGAGTTGTCGATTCTGCAAGACTTTGAGGCATTTTGATTTTCTTTCTGTAAGGGCTTCTTGAGGGTTTGTTAGACATTCCAATATGTGATACTTTGTGAGGATAGTTTTCATTTCACTTCTTATTTGTTAAGTATCTTAAGAGTTTTGTGTACTATTCCATTAAAATGTCATTAGATGTGTGGTGAAAAGCTTGAGATTGCTGAGTAAGAGACTGGAAAGAAGTTTTGTATTACCTAATGTTTGAAGTATGAAGTCTCAGTGTTGTTGATGGAGAGGCTGATATCAGGAAAGAAGAATTTGTAGGAGCTTTTTAAAAAAGTGTAGTATGGAGGAGAAACAGTACTAGGTTTTAAAGTAGTGGAACAAATGGCTAGTGACTGGTATAGAATGGCTTCCTATGCTTGGTATGCTCAGTGGGGTGTATGTGATGCTTGATTAAGGTTAGAAATGCAAGCTGGCCTCTCTCATGCAGTCAGTTGTAGTGAAAAAGCCAAAAATTTTAGATTTGACTCTGTGGAACTAGAACAATTGCCTTTTCAGCTCTGCAGGTGAAATCCTAGAGTTAGTAAACTAACTCTAGATGTTTGCATGGATATAAAATGGTCATTGGCCCGCCAACTAAACTGCCTTACTAAAAAAAAAAAAAAAAAATAGGCCAGAGGAATACTAATTTCTGAGAAAAAAAGGCTTTCCCTTTTCCTGATTTAGCTTCTCAACCAGTCTAGTAGATTCTGAAAGAAGATTTAGAAATGATTTTGGAAATTGAAGGAAACACATACTCATTTCCCATTAAGACGGGTTTCTAGTGATTGTTGCAAGCCAGCAGGGAACTGTGATTTCCCAGGCAATATATAAGGGATTATTTGTGATTAAATAGAGTAATTTAAATCTATGGACTTCAAATTAAATGTACAAGTAGTAATGGTCATTTTCTTCATTCTGCTCTTCTTTCAGTTTTCTCCCTTCTCAAAATATTGGGGGAGGGACTTAAATACTTTCTGCTTCTTTTTCTTTTTTTAAAAGAATTAATGGTGAGAATGCCTTTCAGTGAAGGCTAAAGGCATCAGTTAGAAATTTCTATCTGATTTAAAACTTTCTCTTTGGAAATGCCACATTAACTTTGATTTATGAGTTTATTAGTATTTAGTAAATAGCCTGTCTTGTAAAATTCTGCATCTTCTAAGTTTTAAGTTAATAGGAGATATTTGATTAACCAATAGATAATTTTATATACTTATTTTGCTGATATAGATGCTAAAGTCTTTAAATTATACAAACCATGTATAGTTATATCTTTAAATAAAAGAAAAAAAATCTCATGTTCACAGATTGGAAGACTTAATATTGTTAAGAGAACAGTACACCCAAAACAAGGCAATACACGCAAAACTGATCTACAGATTCAACATAATCCCTAATAGAATACAAGCTGGTTTATTTGTAGAAATTGACAAGCTGATGGTAAAATTTATATGGAATTGCAGGGGACCCAGAGTAGCCAAAACAATATTGAAAAAGAACAAAGTAGTAGGAGTCATACTTGCCAGTTTTAAGACTTCCTGTAAAGCAATGGTAATCAAGACAGTGTGCTACTGGCACAGGGATAGACACACATAGATCAGTGGAACAGAATAGAGAACACAGAAATAAAGTCACACATCTGTCATCATTTGATATTTGACAGGGGCACCAGAACCATTCACTGGGGGAAAGAAATAATTTTTTCAACAAGTGGTGCTGGGAGAACTGGATAGCTACATGCAAAAGAATGAAGTTAGAATCTTACTTCACACCATATATAAAAATAACTCAATGGATCAAAGACTGAAAACATAAGAGCTAAAACTATAAAACTCCTAGAATATAGGAATAAATCTTCATGACCTTGGATTTGGCACCAGTTTCTTAGATATGTCACCAAAAACATGAACAACAAAAGGAAAAATAAATTGGATTTTTATCAAAATTAAAAACTTTTGCGCCTCAAAGGACACCATCAAGAAAGTGAAAAGACTTTCACAAAATGGGAGAAAGTATTTGCATAATTACATATCTGATAAGTACTTATACCTGGAATATATAAAGAACTGTTATAATACAATGATAAAAAGATAAATTACTCAGTTTAAAAATGGGTAAAAGATCTGAATGGCTATTTCCCCAAATAGGATATACAAATTACCAATAAGCACACAAGAAGATGCTTGACATCATTAGTCACCAGGAAATGCATTAAAAACCACAATGATACACTACTTCACATCAACTAGGAAGGCTAAAATAAAAATGTCAGATAATAGCAAGTGTTGGTGAAGATGTGGCGAAATCTGAACCCTCTTACATTTTTGGCAGAAATATAAAGTGATCTATCTGCTTTGGAAAACAGTCTAGCATTTCCTCAAGTTTCTGTTAATTGAGCATTATTAACATCAGGAGCCTGCAAATGCCTTGTATTCACTATTTGTTGGCCTCCAGTTAGCCTTTATTAAGGAGTCACATACCCGTGAGAAGTTTTTTATTCTAGGAGGCAGCTCCCCAGTTGGCAGAAGTCCATTATTTGTTTTCTTTGAACACAGCTGTCATGTTTCAAGAGGCTAACAAATGATGCTTTGGCAGAGTAAGAATAAGAATCTTTTTTTTAAGTTGTGCTTCCTTTTAATATTTGAAGCAAATAAAGAATGTTGAGGGAATAAGAAATTGATTCTAGAAATGTACCTTAGAATTAAAGTAATGGAAGCATGTTAACTTTGGTACTAGATAAGTGAATGCTGCAGATGATTTCTGTGGCTTTCTGCTATAATTTAGAAATAGTTTGTGTTCCTTTTAGGGTCATTGCCATTTACAAAGTTTTGCATAATTGCTATTTGCTGTTTAAGTTTGTTAACAATGCTTTGTGACTTAGCTATTACAAGTATGATTTAAAATCAAAAGTTTTCTTTGTCATTTCCAGTAATGATAGTCTGTCTCTTCCCTTCCTTTGTCCATATTTCTCTTTTTCATCGTGTTAATAGAACATATATGTTAAAATATTGAATTAGTTTGTCTTATTTGCCCATGTGGGTTTAAGATTTCAGTCTTTTGCTGATTTCTGTCACATTGTTTTTTTTAAAGATTTTTTTTTTTAATTAGGGAATTGGGGGATGGGAACAGTGCTGGGGAATTGGGGGAAGGGGAACAGACAAGTTGCTGTCGTTTTGTTCTTCAGTCTAGTTGTGGAGGACGTTGCTTCACTGGCCCAAGCTGGCACCATCATTGCGCTCTTCCCGGACGAGACAGATCAGTCGCCGGCTTCTGGTAGGCCGCTCACGGCCGCTGCTGGTTGCTCACACTAGCTGCTGGCTACACACGGTAGCCCATGGCAACCCACTGCAGCAGGGGCTGCAGCCTACGCCGTCGCCCGGCAACTCATGGCAGCCCAGCTCCAGGTCGAGCTGTTGTTCAGCATTTTAGCTGTAGAGGGCAGTGTCACTGGCCCTCAAATGTGGGATCCGAACCGGGGCTCTCTGGCGTCCCAAGCCAGCTCTTAACCAACGCGCCCCTCGGCCGGCCCTTTGTCACATTGTTGATCATTTTTTCTCTTGGTCACTTTACTTTAGCCGCTGAACTTACTGTTCTTGGAATAAGCCAGCTGCTGGCTTCCTCCCCCAAGATTAACCCCTGAAGGAAAAATCATAAAATCTAAGAAATAAAAAGAACAATTAGAAAGCTCCAGGGAAAGAGTGTTGGTACGGAGTGGGTGTGTGTATGTATGTATGCATGTGGGTGTATGTACGTGTG